ATGTTGATCTCCTAACATTAGTGGGACTGATATGAATTCATTCCCTTAAGGTGAATCCAATTTAAACCCAATACTTGGTCAGCCAACTTAGGGTTAAATTAGCAAGCCTAAACCTTAAGTTAATTAACCATAAACCATAGGATTGCCTAAACATTAGGTTAGTTAACCCTAAATTAATATGATTAGTTAAACCTAAACATTAGGTTAGTTAATCCTGAACCAATATGATTAGTTAACTTAAACATTAGGTTAGTTAACCCTAAACCAATAGGATTAGCTAACCTAAATCTTAAGTTAGTTAACCCTGAACCAATATGATTAGTTAACATAAACATTAGGTTAGTTAATCCTAAACCAATAGGATTAGTTAACCTAAACATTATGTTAACTAACCTTAAACCAATAGGATTAGTTAACCTAAACTATGGATTAATTAAACCTAAATCAATAAGATTAGTTAACTTAAACTCTAGGTTAATTAAACCTAAACCAATAAGATTAGTTAACAAAAACATTGGACCCTAACCCAATAGGATTAATTGACCTAAACCCTAGGTTAGTTAACCCTAAACCAATAGGATTAATTAACCTAAACCTTAGGTTAGTTAACCATAAACCAATAAGATTAGTTAACCTAAACCTTAGGTTAGTTAACCCTAATCAAACCCTAATCTTTAGGTAAAACAAACTTAAGTCATATTTTAGCCTTAAGCTAAACCTACCCTAAACCTTAGGTTAGAACCTAACCCATAGGTTGAACATAGAAGAACCTTTTAGGTATAACCTTAAACTTAGGTTAAACCTAAACCCCTCAACTTCAACAACAATTCAGAAATAAAATAAAAAATATTGGGAGGGGTAAAATTTATATAAAACATATTAAAACTTAAACTTAAACCAAAACAAATTCAACAAGGCTTTAAAGCATGACTTTGAGGTTAAGTCAGTTTCAAAGTCGTTAACTTCACATAAGTAATAACAAGTGAACAAAAATAATTAAAATAAAATATTTAAAATCCGACAATAAGATGTAAACAACCTAAAATATTTCAACCCTAAAATTGATAAAGTATTTCAAGAATCAATTAAATCTTAATCACAAAGATCACATAACGTAACTTAAATCTTTTTTTTTTTCTTGTTTACAAAGATTTCTCGGACGATGCATTCTGTGGATGTTGACAAGAGTCTTCCGGTCCTGGTGGGCAACCACCTTTCGGACTAAGTGAACTAGGGCATCTAGCAGCCAAGGACGACGGAGCCATAGACATCTTGACTGGGTTACCACAAATTAAATAATTAAAATTTAATAAAAATTTGATGAAACATTGTTTATTTATTTGCTTTATTTATTGTTTTATGTATCTCAATGCATGTTTTTTTACTGTTTTTATCAAACATAGAATGCATGTGTTAAGAACAAATAATGAAAATTTAAGTCATAGACATCTTGACTGGGTTACCACCAATTAAATAATTAAAATTTAATAAAAATTTGATGAAACATTATTTCTTTATTTGCTCTATATATTGTTTTATGTATCTTAATGTATGTTCTTTTACTGTTTTTATCAAACATAGAATGTATGTGTTAAGAACAAATAATAAAGGAATAAAAGTTGCTTAGATTAGGAAGAACCTAGAAATCATAACACTAGGGAATTATTTAACTTAAGTGAACTTAGTCTTGGCCTAGATTTGAACTATACCTCCACTACCCTTTAATTAATTCACTATAAAATTTTTAATAATAAGATTGGAGAGCTTGATGACTTGAAGAACTGAAGACATTTCAGTATGGAACTTGGAGCAGACTTTGTGAACAGCTCGTTCGAGACTTTTTATTTAGTTTAATAACAATTCTTAAGATTCCGAACCTGTTTTTTATGACATAAAATCTCTCTTTTTTTTAGGCTCCTGCATAGTCCTGATATACAACATGTCTTAACTTGTTTTAGGATTCTGAGGTAGTCACTCGACGTAAAAACCTCATATCTTTCTAGGCTTTTTGTGTAAATCATATTACACAAATCTAAGCCCTAATTAATAAAATTTGCAATAGTTGACTAAAATTAATATAATCCTAAATTGAGCCAAACATTAAGATAGTTTGGGGGATTACCAAGAACCTATTCTAAATTTTTAATCTCCCGTACTTTTCTTTCTTTGATTCTTAAAACAAAATATTTCACCTTTGAACCAATCTCTATTGAAAATTTCACAATCATGTTCGTTAGAAACTCTTTCTTTTGAATTCATGCAAACAAAAGATTCCTGATGTTTATCGAGAGTTTTCTTAAGTGATCTGTTCGCTTAAGATGTAATTAACTATAGGGGTTTGCCCTTATAAGGAACTTAAAAGAATCCAGAATTAAAATAAACCCAATTTGACTCTCATATCGAATAGGGGAATCTGTCGGTCATCATGCAAACTTGCAGATCAAACAGAAGTCATTTATTTTTATAATTTATTTAATTGAGCTTATTATCAAGTAGTGTATTACCTTTCGGGATGGTACAATACTCGTGATTAGCTCGATTATTCAAACTGTATGAATCAATGGTATCAATTTGACCTCATTTTCTTCAAATTAAAATACTTAATTTCTAAATACTATATTATGTTAAATTAAACCGCACTCAGCTGCATGGCGACCAACAACTATCAACAAGTTCTTGCATTGCTTGAACTTGTTGAATGTTTGAAGTTGCTAGAGAAGCGTGGTGGTCCAACCCACTTTAGTGTGTAAGAAACTTCATGATTTATTTTTCCTAACGGGTTGGATATTCGCCAAGTTGGAGATTTGTTATGTGGGTTGGGAGTACGGGGGCAATACCCCGTACTCATAATAAGGGACACATATTAGAACGAAGCGGAGCGGAGCGGAAGAATCTGTCCAAATCGGGGGAGTTTCGTTATGTGGGTTGGGAGTACAAGGGCAATATCCCGCGGTACGGTACATGGGTAATTTGGGAATTACATATTGTACTCAGAGTTTTCTCTAGAGTTATATATAGATATGTTTGTAACCCTAGATCATTTTATTTTGTATTTTGTACTCTATTTCTGAAGTTGAAAGAAAGTCGTCGCTCTGCTCTCAAGGACGTAGGCATCTTTGTCAAACCTCGTTAAATCTCTGTGTGTTATTCTGGATTTATTCTGGATTTGTGTCGATCTTGTTTTTCTTCGCCCTAATTTCTCAACATATTACAATATAGTTTTTATAATGGCTTTAAAGATTTTTAACTTAACAATTTAGTTCTTCTAACAATCTTTTTAACCAAGTTCCTTCATGATTATCAAATGTCACTTTCTTGTATTTGAATTCAACACTTCTTCAGAACATAGATTGTTTCTTATTTGTGCATGCAAGGGTTCAACAAACATAAATATAACAGCCAAAATGAGGATATTTCTTTTTGGCATCATCTATAATATAAAATCATCTAAATCAACAACCGAAATCTAATTAGTTTTCTTTTTATGACAGTTTGGATAAAGAGAGCTTGATTGTTTGGCAATAAGTGTACCAACATTTTCAATATATTTAAAAGACATGCCAAACCAAAGATTGGGTACTTTTTTAAGACCATTTACAACTCTTATAAATTTGCATGCTTTATTGATATTTCTCTCATGTTTCAATGTGAAATCGCCATGTATATTTTCTCCCAATTTCCCCCATAATCATAATATTAAGTTTAGGTAGAGGTCAATTCAAATTTAACACCATAGAGAACCAAATTTAAATTGTGTTAAATTTGGTATTGGGAAAAAAAGTTTCTTGAAAGCTAATATTAGATATTCAGATGATTGTGTGTACTCTTTTGCAATAAATCGAACTTTAAAGTTATCTATGCCCCAATCTTTATACTTATCACAAATATTCATCTCCATCCAAGCTCTTTTTTTTTTTTTTTTTTTTTTTTTTTTTTTTTTTGAAATTTCTTACATTGTCCATGTAATTCTTTATTATGTCCTATTTTCTTCCATTATAGCTTTCATGCACATAGAGGTTTTGAGAGTTTCATGAAAATTATTTTAAATCTATAGTTTACTAAGAGATACAACAAAAAAATAAATGCTAAGGGAAATCTCTTTACTAGCCATAATCATATATTGGGTATTTCGATCATGACCTCACCCCTTTCTTTAATGAAATAAGACAACAGATATTATTATCATCATCTATAAATCCATTCTCCCAAAATTTTTCTTCATTAATCCTTGAACCAGGTTTGAGCTCATAAGTGTATTGGAGATATGTTTATTGCTCCCCTTATTGTTTTTATTGCCCATTCTACTATAGAAATGAAGCTCATTTTGTATTTTATGGATGTATTAACACAGTGGTAAGAGAGTTTGTGATTCTAATGTAGCTTTAGTAGGTTGGATATTGAAACAAGGTGATGATAGAGTTTGTGGTTGGGTGTATTAGCAAGGTGATGTATAACAAAGTGATGAAGTTTTACTGGATTAGATGAGGAGCAATGAAAAATTTTCTTTTTTCATGAATTTATTACAAAGCATGGCGGATGATCAAATAAGTTTTATCATTCTTGAGCTTGCTTCCCATAAATTATGGGTAAAAAATTATAAGTATGATATTTAAGGAAGTATGCATTCATGAATTTGTAATTTTTTTAGCTATTGGGGCATAGCATTTCAAATAAAGTTACCCTTAAATTTGAAGAAAATTCAATTAGAGATGACATTGATAATTTTAGATCTAGTTTGCTTTGATGCTGAGAATGAATGTGAATGAAGACCAAATAAGAAATGATTTGGACAAAGACTAATTTTAAGTTTTTTTTATGTAGGACATAAATTTCTTTGGCACCATTGATCAATGGAACTTGAATTTTGGAAAAAAATTGAGCACGGATCGTTGTGTGAAAATAAACCGGAATCATTGACAAAAAATATAAACAATCTAACTCCATTAACAATTTAATTTTAAGAACTTGAGGCATTTAAATGATAATTTGAAGGAGCTAACCTCTGCTAGTTCCTTGGGACATTGGAAAAGTTTTAGCCCTTTCAGCAAAAATCCTTTCTTCTCAAATCGTGAAATAATATCTCCAACCTACAGCATTAAACTTTAAGTGCACTTAAAATCCATAAATAATTAAATCTCGTGCAATTGTAAACAAAGCCATAAATAAGGGTGGCATACCAGACCGCGCTGGACACCATCAGGTTTCACCATTACATAAGTCTCCTCAACCTCTTCCTGTCCCCAATAAAAACAGAAGGATAATAAGATTAACAGCTCAAAATTTTGGATTTTTCTAAAATAGTCAAAGGAACGAGCTTGAATGAGATGGGGCTGACAAATTGTTCGCTTTCCAAATTTTGGTCAAATCGGCCACGGATGTTACCCTGAGCGAACGGCGTTGCTGAAATGTGCACCGTTCAAAACGGCAGAAATTTGAGATTCTAATTTCTCGATTAAGGTAGAAATCAGATGGAATTTGAGTTTAACAGTCCCATTTGCCAGAAGTTGTAAGTAGTGGAAACGGTACTGTATTAAAGACAACAAATGTGGGCGTAGAAAACGAACCATGGAGGCAACGAGGTGGGGGAGGAAGATGTGAGTTCTCGACCTTCGAACTCGCATCTGGCCATGGCCACACCTGTCGCAAAAGGAGGGGAATATAGACGGTCCGAAGGCGGAAAGACGGTCCTGGTAACGTACAGTTGACGGATAAAAGTAAGCAGGAGAAGAAGGGAAGCAGCAATTCTTCCTGTTTCTACTTCCACGATTAGGGTTTTGAGTTGGGAAGCAGAGTGTAGTCGCAAACACAGAGGAAAGCCCAGTCGCCCACATTTCGTTGCCGATCTCCCTTCTGTGGCGGCTGCTCGGAAATTGGATGGAGAGTTGCGGCTTGCTTGGTTGTTTTACAGATAGTTCGTTTAAAAGCAGCTTAACAAAAGTTTCTTTTGTTAAGATTGTTTGAATTAAGGGTATGTCTTGGCTGAGTTTTTGCAGCTTATGGGTTTTCAGATATCTAAAAACATCGTTTTCACACTCCAGCTTTCTGACAGCGGTCTGATTTTTCCAAAAAAATAAAAATTTGTAATAGTCACCGCACCTAGCTTATCAGCATATTATTCAATAAGTTGCAATTGCTCCGAACAGACCCTAATTCAAACGATAGTTAAAAAGCTGTCTCGCACCGAATCAAGAGTGTTGAAAAATGCAAATTTTAGCTGTAACTTTTTTATAAAGCTGTCAAAATGCAGTTTATCCAAACAGACAAAACTGGTGCGGCACTGCACCTCCTCCCAAACAGACTCTAAATGTTTTCTTTGTGCTTCTTTAGTAAACCAGAAAACACTTTTATTACATGTTTGGATAAATTATAAGGAAAATCGTTTTCATGTAGAAAACATATAGAAAACAGAAATACTCCTAATTTATTTTAAATTACAATAATTATTTCTCTACTTTTAATTTAGTTAAATTTGGCTTATAAAAATGGAGAATTATTACATCTTTAAATTTTTAATTTGGAACAATAACTAATGTATTATTAGATTTCACCGATTCAATTTTTTCTCACACCGCCAATTATAAGGAATAATGAAAAACAATTGCATGAAACTATTTTTTTGCTATCGGACTTGTTAAAATGCGGTAATTATAAAAAAAATATTATCTTATTTTATGAAAAAAAAAATTCCTTGTGATTCCACCCTCCTCATTACTTCACAACCAACTTTATAAAAAGTAACATTGGTCACAAATGGGCTCTTAAACTTCTTCTTTCAAAGATAATACAACATGCAGAGTCGATCTTTCCATTAAATCGAGTCATAGCTAACATTTTTTTTGACTAATGAGATTTTATAGGACTTCAATTCTTATAGCTACATAAAATAATTTTGCTCTAATTTATATCTTATAAAAACATTAGATGAGAGATCTAAGATTTCCACCAATATTCATTAAATGGATCAAAACTCATAGCACTATCTTATCAGAGCTGAGAGGTTATTCTGATACTTCATTCCATCTTCAAATCCATTCACCGTTCTATGATATAATTCTCCATATTTATGGACTTGCCTTGCCAAAACCTCAATTTTTCGGGTATTAAGGCTAAAAATCATAACATCTCTCATCTTATTTATGTGTTAATTTGTCTAAACTTTTGAATAGTCATCACAAGCTCCATCAATTGCATCATGTACTACATCTTCAAAGAAATTTTATAATGTTACTAACATTAGTGTCAACCCTATTAAATCTACAATTTATTTCACTATATATGTTGATGAGCATTACAAACAACAAATGTTTGACCTCTTAGGCTTTTAAGCTAAACCATGTACTCAAGAGCAACATGATATTATTATTAACTTATCAAAGCCGAATGCCGCTGATTGTCCTAAAATCATTGACAAAATGTAATAGTAGTTAAATGATTGGAAATACAAATTACTCATTTTTGTCTACTAATTCTATTTCCTTAAGATATTCATTTGGAGCTATTTTTCACTACTTTAGATCATGCATCATTCTCAATGGCTTGTGGAAAGGCACTCATTGTGATTAATAATCTTATTTATCATAATAAAACTTCAAAATTGCATAATATCGCTTCGAATATTATCATTGGGCTTAAAAATTAAGGATGATTAGGTATTCCCAATATTAATTATTAATCTTTTATATAAATCTAAGCCGATTTTTAGCTGCAACATGCATTTACGTTATATAGGATTTATCAAATCTAATAGATCCAATTCGCTAGCGATGATGGAATAAAATCTATAATCCGCCTCTCGATCGGGGAAAAAATTTGCGTGCGATAGACGTACGCAGTGCTGCGTACAATATTGAGGTTATATCGAGGGTACAAGGAGGTTATATCTGCGGTATAACCCCTTGTAACATCCCTTTAACCTTTTGTAACTTACCTGTAACCTATTAATAAATTCTTAATATATGATAATAGAAGCGCGAAACTTATTTTATGTTACAGGTAGGTAACAGAAGGTTACAAAGAGGTAACAAGGGGTTATACCGCGGTTGTAACCCCCTTGTACCCTCGGTATAACCCTAATATCGTACGCAGCGTTGTGTATGTCTATCGCACGCAAATTTTTTCCCTCGATCGGATTTATTAAATTTCAATTTATGTTGTAAAAGAGACAAATACAAGATTTAAAGAAGAAACGTGAAAACATTTTATTTAAATGAGAATTTGAATTAATATTTTTCTTTATTAACATTTAGCTGAATTTACATTAAATTCTATTAAAAATATGCTGCCAAACACCCACTCTGCTTCTCTCTAGTTTAAGATGTAGCATACAAAAATCATATCCTGCACGCGAAGCAAAAATGTGTTCCTTGCCCCTCTTCCCCACTCCTCCTGCTCCTCCTCTACGCCGATTCAAATCCATATCCCTAAGCTCCTCCCGCCATTTTCCTTCCACTCCTCTCTATTCCTCCTCTTCCCCCTACTCTCCCGATGAAGTCCCCATCGACGAAGAGTTCCTTAAGAAGTACACCCCCAAGGTACAGGAATCCGAGGAGGAAGCCCGTCGCCGCGACTGGATCGAGCGCGGTTGGGCTCCGTGGGAAGAGATCCTCACTCCCGAGGCTGATTTCGCCCGCAAGAGCCTCAACGAAGGGGAAGAAGTCCCTCTTCGCACCCCCGAGGCCCTTGAGGCCTTCAAGATGCTCAAGCCTTCCTACCGACGTAAGAAAATGGAGGAGAGTGGGCTCTCCGAGGAGGAGTTGCTAGCACAGCAGTTCGCCATCAAGGGGGAGATTCCTGAGCCCATTGAGACGACCTGGGCAGGGGGTGTGGTGGCTGTGAGGGCGGTGCCTCCGAGGGATTGGCCGCCAAGAGATTGGGAGGTAGACGCTGAGGAGCTGGAGTTCATTCGTGGCGCACATAAGCTGGAGGCTGAAAGAGCGGATTTGGAAGGGGAGATTAGGACTGATGTTGATTCCATGTGTGTGGAGAGGTATAAGGTTTTTCTGAAGCAGTATAAGGAGTGGGTGGTTGCTAATAGAAAGAGGTTGGAGGAAGAATCCTATAAGGTACGCTTCTTTAATTATTGTGTTTCTGGTTGACAATGTTCCGGTATAGTTGTAGAGGAGAGGTAGTTGATGTTCTCTGATGAAAGTTTGTTCTTAAATTTTGGTGCTTGAAAATAATATTTTAAGGTAGAGGTTATTGTTGGATCCAAATTTGTTAGTGTATGACAACTAAGGCCTTACCATAAAAAAGAAGGAAGCCTAAGGTGTAGGAAGAAGAGCGAGAGAAGCTAGTTCTCAGAAATTTTTTTAGTGAATTGGTGTACAAATAACTAAACACAATTCCTTTGATCTGAGAAGGGGGAATTGAATTCAGCTAAGGCAACCTAATTCAGACAAGAGGTCAACAAACTAGTATAATTACATTCTACATTTATAGTTTTCCAATCAACTAGTAAGTGAGAGCAAATTCTCTAGGTGAATGCTCGGGAATGAATTCTTGAAAGGAGAACTAGTTAATCAAGAGCTAATATTTTGGGCAATTTCCGTGAGTTGATATGTTCTTTGGGTGAGTACCCTAAACAATTGGGTGAATTAAGATTCTCTTGGTTGAGTTAACAATTTAATTTTGAGTATTTAGTTTGGCTGAATTCTCAGGTGACTCATTTGAGATATATTTCCAGACCCTTGAGACTTTGGGCTATTTTTAAATTAGCGAGCTTCCTGTTGCAAGTGTTTCAAGTCAGATTTATTAGTTTATCACAAACATGGATAAAAAAAAATTGCTTCTCATTGGCCCCCAAACTTTTCTAGGCATCCCATAAAAAAGAGACCAATACAATGTACGCTCTATTTTATATGAGTTTAACTATTAGCACATTTTACACCTGCCCATGACACTTTGTAACAATTTCATCCCTGTTTACTCTTACTTTTTATCGGCAAGTTTGAGTAATTCCTTTTACTTGAAGCACTCATTTGAAGGAAAAAAAGTGATACTAGCTTTGATGTTATTCAATTTACTAAAATTCAAAGTGTGCATTTATTAGCTTTAGGTTTTAATTATCATTCTCACAACTCGTTTTTTCTTTCCTTATACATCTTAAATACTCCTGAGACACAAAAGTTCTCTTTATGTGGGTTTAAGAAAACATAGTTTTTACCCAGTATTAATCAAAATAAATTTATAGTCTTTTTTTTTCCTCTTGCGACTTATGTGTATGCGGATAAAGAAGGATGCTATGGTGACTAGGGGTGAAATACAACGAAATGTATTTTTAATTTGGGACATTTTAATGGTTTTAGTTATTGGGCATTTATTTATTTATTTTTTGTCTTTCACACTGTTAGCCTTTAATTGGATATAGGTATACCTTATGTGAGTTTTTTTAATTGGAAACATCTTTAAAAAATATGCTAACCTCAAGTTTTTTTTAGCTTGGTTTGCTATAAATAATAATTTTATAAACTGAAAGAAGACTTTTCTCACAAATTTCCCTATTTTTTTTCACTTCACTTATTTATCTTACAATGAATAATCTCAGTGCTTTGTGGTTACTTCAGTTTGACCAAGATTACTATCCAGGTAGAAGGAAACGAGGCAAAGACTACAAAGATGACATGGTATTTTATTAAATATGCGTTTTGTATTTGTTTTCTTTCTCAGGGCTTATTTTTCAACTTTTCAACTTTGACATTTTTTATATGAACTATTTTTTTGTGCAGTTTGAGCTTCCTTACATATATCCTGGACAGGTAACTTCCTTACTTTTATATGAATCAGTTGTTTTATGCGATAATTATTTGGGATGTTCAACATTAGTGCATCGTCTTTATTAGCTTCAAAGCCTCAGAAGCAATGATGTTACATGGCCTCTCTTGAATTCTCTGTCATTTTAGATATATACCTTGTTGCCTATCATATATATAATATCGCACATACTAATTTAAGAAGAAAGAAATAGACAAAAAAATTATTATTTCATTCAACATATGTGTTTAAATAGGGGTTACAATGTTTTAACAAATAAACCCAACAAACCCTATTATTACACATAACTCTCAAGACTCCTCCATAAGATGGACGAAAGATATTCACTAATCTCATCCTGTCACATAATCTAGCTAACTCCGCTGAACCAAGCCCTTTAGTGAGGCAGTCAACTACCTGTTCTCCAATAGTTACATGACTTAATTCCAACAATCCATTATTCAGCTTCTTCTTGATAAAGAATCTATTAATCTCCATATGTTTAGTTCTATCGTGTTGTTAGCAATATTGATTGTCGACTTGTTGTCACAGCACAACTTCATTTGAATCCCCTAATCCACTTTGAGTGCAACCAACAAGGCTTTCAACCACATCATCTCAGCAAATGTCATGGCTCAGTATTCTGCCTCTGCTGTCATTCTTCCTAAAATTGGTTGTTTCTTGCTCTTCCAGGAGACCAAGTTACCACCTACAAATATGCAGTATTCTAATGTGGATCGTCTGTCATCAACACAACTTGTCCAGTCAGAATAACAGAAGCCCTCAATATCTATATGCCCATTCTTTCGGAATACCAACCATTTTCCAGGTGCACTCTTTAGATACCTCAGAATCTGATACACTGCATCTATATGACTCTTCATTGGATTATGCATGTAGCAGCTCACCACACTTATTGCAAAAGAAATATCGGTTTAAGTGCTACACATATATATCAGGCGGCTAACTAGCCTCTGGTGTCTCTCATGATCAACTGATTCACCCACCTATCTATTGAGCTCGACATTCCGATCAATTGGAGAAACTGCAAATTTGCTATTTTGCATAAATGTCTCCGTGAGAAGATATGATACATACTTTCTTTGAGATAGGACCATCCCCTCAGGTGTATCAGCCACTTTAATCCAAAAAAAATATCTGAGCTGTTACCTCAAATTGTTTTCCCAATATTCTCTTCGGTTGAGCAATCGTTGCCTCATTATCACCAGTGATTATTATATCATCTACATACCCAACAAGTATGGTGACTCTTTGTTTAAAAAGACGTTACTGGGCCGGGTTCGGGGTGAGGCATAAGTCATTTTGCCCCAATCCCACTAGGGGGTGCAAATGTCATGGGACGAACGTTTTTTTAAGTCATGAGTGCAAGTCGCACCTCATTAGGGCGTACACCTCACTTGCTAATCGAATAAAAAGGAAAAAAAATCCTTAATTATTCAAACCTGACTGATTCAGTCATCTTCCACAAGAGAAGATTTCTCGCAACCCTTCTTTGTCTACCTTCGCAAGTAGATGATCTTTGCACGTAAACAACCTCCTGCACCGCCGACTGCTTCGTTCTCGCACATAGGTGACCCCCCGCCTCTGGGTTGCTTCATCCCATGTGCACTCGATCCAAACATCTTCTCTAGTAGAAAGGAGAACCGATCGCAACGTCTGCTTCTCTCCCCGCACCCGCAGCTTCTCTCCCGCAACCCGTGATTTGGTGAGAAATTAGAAATGCCACCTTTATTGTCTTTTAAGTTATTAATGGATTTATCGCTGTAGCTATAGTAATTGCATTTTTTTAAATTTCGTGTTTGTTAGAGATCACACAAATGCACAATTAATTAACTCATAAAAAATTTTTATGGTGAATTTTTGCTAATATCTTAAAAATTCTAATCCTACAAAACTTGTTTTGAAATTGAATGAGTATATGCTCTTTTAACGTCTCTTAATTAATTTTTTATGAAGCATAAATAGTTTATTTTTTGTCTCTTAATATTTATATTCCTTATTTTTCTTTATACTGTGGGGCTTACACCCCGTTCTATAACAGCTAAAACACGCCGTCCAACTCCCACGTCTTTTAAAACATTGGTTTGAAATTTATGTTGTCGAAAGAGTACCGTGTGGTATGCATTGATTTGCTGATATCCCATGCTAATCATCGTCATTCTAAACTTGTCAAATTAGGCTCGATGAGACTGTTTCAAGCCATACAATGATTTTCTGAGCTTACATACCTTGGCCACTGTTGTGATGTACTAAATCCTAGTTGTATCTCTATATATACCTCCTCCAGTAGCTTCACATGAAGAAAAACATTATTCACATTCAGTTGGTGGAGTCTTCATCCACCATTCACTGCCAGAGAAGTCAGTGTCCTCACCGTGCTCATCTTTGCTATTGGTGCAAAGGTTTCATCTTAGTCAATGTCATAAGTTTGACTGTACCCTTTTGTCACTAGTCGTGCTTTGTACCTCTCCATCTTTCATTCTAAAGTTTGTTTTACAGCACTTTTATCCAATTGTCTTCTTTCTTGCTAGTAGTGGCACAATCTCCCATGTTTAGTTTTTATCAAGAGCTTCATGCTCTTCATACATTGTCGCTTTCCACTTGAGATCCTCTTTAGCAACCTACCAACATTTCGGTATAGAGACAGCCCAATGATGCAATGAATGGTCCATGCAAATGTGAGATGTTAGAATAAGAAATAAATTTCATAATTTTAAGTTCCCACTCAAAACGACCAGGACAATGTCTCGCATTGCTGCAAGAGGTCGACCTTAACGCTGCAGTGGGGGCGGGGTAGGAGTGCACGGAGTAGGAATAATATCACCTGAAAATTTTGAATCAAAGGTGGATGGTGTATGTGTCTCAAGAGTTGGGGAAGATTGGGACATGAGACTTGTTGCCACTGTAGACTCTGTTCCCTCAGTCTACTTTTTCCTCAATGTATACACCCTTAGCTCACCTTCAGCTTAAATCTCACCACCTCTGGGGTCAATCTCCTCGATTTTCATCCCCTTAGTAGAGTTATCCGACATGTCATCGCTTATACTTGCACCACTCCATCACTATTACTACTCACTCTCTTTTGTATCATATCTCCAGTGTGTTGAATTACCGAATGGTGAATTCACCTCCACAGTGTAGTATGGTTCAATCTCTCTGAATGACACATTCATACTTACAAAGAGTTTCTTTTTAATCGGTCTTGAACATATATAACTCTTTTGAGTAGCAGAATAATCCACAAACACATATTTCACAACTTTGGAATTCAACTTCCCTACAGATGACCTATTGTCTTTCACAAAGCATACACATTCAAATACTTTCAATTGAAGGATCTCATTATTATCTCATTTCAACATCCGACAATGAGACTTCCACTTCAACCCTTTTGAGGGTATCTTGTTAATCAATTGAGCGACTATCAAATACTGTTTACTCCCATAAGTGTTGTGGGACATTCATTGTCATCATCATGCTCCAGACTATCTCTAGAAAATGTCGGATTCTTCCTCTCCGCTACTCCATTCTGTGTGGATGTATATGGGCATGTGGTTTGGTGTTGTATCTTTTGAGCTGACAAATAAACCCCAAATGCTTTGTTGATATATTATGTCTCATTATTAGATCTAAGTACCTTCACAACTGCTCCATATTGGGTTTGGATTGTCTGAAAATTTTTAAAGCAAACAACTACTTTACTCTTCTATTTCATCAAGTACATCCAGATAACACTAGAAAAGCAATTATTAATGTAACAAACTAATGATGATCATTCATAGAACTAGTAGGACAAGGTCCCTATCCATCAGAATACATCAAATCAAACACATTAGAGCTCCTATTCCCATAACTAACATAAGTGCTCTTAGTGAGCTTACCAAACTCATAAGCATCACACACTAGTTTCTCCTTATTTGTTTTTTCATACATAGATAGATACAACCGATTCAGTAAAGTAAGACTAGAATGTCTCATATATCTGTGATGTAGCAGTAAAACATCCTCGATGTTCCTCCCATATTCTCCTACTGCATCACTTTCCACCATGGATGTCAGAGCCAAATCCTTCTCCTCTCAGTTCGAGTACTGGAGTACTCTATGCCACGTTTCAGTCCCAAGTGTCCGACCAGTCCCTTTCTCTTGAAGATCATCAAAGGAATATCAAATGAAACAATTCAATTTAAGGAGAATAATGACACTAATGGATAAGAGATTTATTGGAAAAGGAGCATGCAAAATATTAGTCATAGTCGTATGATTGATACATCTCACTGTACCCTTAACAACTACAAATTCTGTTGTACCATCATCGGTCTGTATACTCCCTAGTACTGCTAGATAAGTATATGAAAAGAATTCTTCAGCAGTACTTATCACGTGATGAAAAACACCAGAATCTATGATACATTCCAATGATCCTGTGGTGGAAATAGATGCAAGAGCAAGTGTGTCACCAGTTCCTTTGTTGAAGTTAGCATAATTGGCAAATTTAACTCTTGATGTCGATGGATTTGAAACATCATCAGCTTCATCTCCTGTTGCTTTCTTCTTCCACTTCAACAGCTCCAGACACTCACGATCCTCACTAGTAAAAATCACACTTGTCTCTCTCTCATCCTCAGCTACCATCATATTTGTCTAATAATCCCCTTTTCCATCTTTCTGACCCCCATGATTACGACCATGACCACAACCTCTACCTTGTCTATATCCACCTATCTCCCTCTCCTTAGGTTAAGGCGGCTTAGGACAAGCGCTGCTTGGATGACCAGCTTCACCATAATTTTAGCACTTGCGAGTCTCCCTCCGAACACCTAGCATAACTGGGCTCGCAGCAACCAATGTTGACTGTGCACCCAAAAAAACCACTCGGCTCAGAGTATAGCTTTATGTGACTCTCCTCCTGTATCATCACAACAATAGCCTCATCTAGTGTAGGGATGACAAATCTTGGATCAAACGTTGAATTCAAATGAGTCAGAAACTGCATAGTTCTCATCTATGTAAAGATCTCTCATTTCTTGCACTCTAGATTGCTACAACTTGACATCAATGAGAAGTAATCAAGATTCACTCACAGTCTTTCCAAATCTACGGAGTATTTTTGAATTGATTTTTCACTCTATACCACAACTTATATTTTTCGTTGAATCTGGAATACCCCATGTAGTTCTTAGTCCCAACATAAATCTTCTTCAGCTTTGCCTAGATGTTCCTCACCTTTCGAATGCCATCGATTGATGACGCAATTGATGGAACCATTGAGTTGAGCATCTAGGTGTAAACTAAGGCGTGAGTGGTCCTCCACTTATCCCTCCCAGCACTGTCACTCTGTGATTCATCCTCGGTCAGATATCCCTCTATTTTCTTACTTACTAGAGCCGTCTCAATCCGACGTGGCCGGCTCAGATAAGTGGCCGGTCCATCAAGCTTCAGATCCACAGGAGGGAAATATAGATTCATCTGCGTCAAAGCATGTGTTGAAGTCGTGGTTTTTGTCGATGCATCGGCTTCCTGTATGAGCCCTACAGGACCTTCAGGACCTCAGGATCAATCTTTTCGAGAAGATTCAATCCTTTCCTCCCCACGCTATCTCTATCTCCCGTCATCTTCAATCACCTGGACTCCCTTCTAGGTCATACACACCATGAACAATTTCCTTCCTCCTTTAGGCCCGATTTTGATCTATCTCATCATCAAGATTCAGATACTCTTCATATTATTCCCCTCCTCGGGATCCGTAGTGTATCCCCCCCCTCCTCTTCACACGCACACACAGAGGCCCCTTTCAAGTGAACAAAATCTCTTCGTGCGGCGGTCTGACTGCGAGAGGTGGGGCGGCGGCGGAGGCGGCCTGGTGGACGACTGTCAGGAACAGTGGCTAGGGTTGGATGGCCGGCCAACCAGGTGAGGGTAGAAGAGAGAAAGGTAGAGATGGTTAGAGTTTGGCTTTGATACCAAGAAGAAAGAAATAAGCCAAAAATTACAATTTCATTCGTATGTGTTTAAATAGATGTTACAATTTTTTAACAAATAAACACAATAACTACATTTAGCTTGTACTAGATGACAATAAAATAAAAAGATCCTCCTTTATAATTCTCTCTCATTTCTAATATTGTACTAGAATCATGGTCAATAATACTCCTAATCTTCACTAAGCATTTTCTTGCTCATGTTGTACTTGTCAAAATTTCGATTTCCATTGATCCTCTCTTAGATGATTGTGACTTGTTTGTGCCTTTACAACCTTTCCTTTTGTGAGATCCTTATCTTTGCATTGACAATTGAAGACATGGCCTTATTTTTTATTTCCCCTATATCTACACCTCTAATTTCTAGTAGCTTCATATTGATAACTTTTCTTCTCACTTGGTTGCCGCTCTTTATTGTTTCTTAGACACTACTCTCCATCAACATATTTTTTATTACCTTTGTTCAAGCCTTTTATTTGTATTTTCTCTGGCTTGTTTCTTGTCATGTGTCTTTGAATCCAATGCACAACACTCTTTCTTGTATAGAATGGTCATGCTCCTCTTGTAACAATTGCTACCTTGAGGCAACAAAACCTTCTATTATTCATCTTTGATAAATACTATTTAAAATTAAGTTCATCTCCAATGCCACCTTGAGTTTGTGAAGTATTACCATATGTAAATAGCATATGTTTTTATCATTTATCATAGGAATTTGCGGTTTATTATTGTAATATTTCTTTTTTATTGAGTGTGTTCTCTTTATTTGTACCATCATTGGTTATTCTCTTACATTTCTTATTTATTGATACATATATATTTGTACTAAATGACTGTTTAAGAAAATGCCATTATTTTAATTCTCTTTCCTTCTTACATTATGCAGATCTGTAGAGGCAAAGTGACAACTTTACACCTTTACCAGGGAGCTTTTGTTGACATTGGATGCGTTCATGATGGGTAAGCTTACAAAATTAAGTGTACTATGAATGTTAATATCCTTTATTGTTTTTTTGAAAATTGCATGATCAAAGATTTTTGCAAAGCTGTGTTATTTGTCAACAGAAATGTCAAAATGGTTCCTAGACTACTTATGGGAGGTGATTTTAGTTCCAGATTGTCTAATGTATTTGATTTCTTAACTCTTCAGATCCGACTCAATAGTTTGACTCTTCAAATCTGTCATTTTTTATCCAATTTTTAAGAGTCAATGAACGAAATTGAAAACATGTATAGTTTGGGGCTAAAATGGTCTCTAATAATAGTTCAAGGATCATTTTGATCTTTTTCACTTTATTTACCATCTCATACTCTCTGCAGTTATTTGATGGGCATTTATTGCATGATCTTTTTTAATTTATTTACTATTTTAATTCCAGTCGATCAGAGCATAATCCTGCTATTTTTTTTGGTATCCTGTGTGCTGTGAGAACCCAAAAATGTTTCACTGAAGCACAATTTTATTTTCTGCTTTTGGGCTATGTGTGTTCCTCACTGGTTTGTTGCCTTCCAATCTACAAAAAATGGCATGAAAGGGTACTAAAAATTTAAATCTTAGACTGCAAAATGAAATAGATTTTCTAGAGTTACTTGCTTGGAAGATGTAATGTTTTTTTTGAAAGCTACAACTATCAATCACTATTTTGTTAGCTTCTTATTCGATGTTTTAGATGCACTGAAGTATTATGCTAACTTGAAATTTTATTTACCTTTTTTTCTATTTTTTAGCTTGTGTAGGTTTGGTTTCTTTCTTAATGGATCTTCGTGCTTTTTTGGCTGACATGTTCACTTCATCTTTTAGTTGGGTTCCAATAAAGGGAAATGACTGGTATTGGATTCGACACCATATAAAAGTTGGCATGTATGTGTTTGTGGAAGTTCTGGTGAGTCATGAATGATTACTTTCGTGCTACTAGTTTTGACTAATTTACTACAATGCTGTCATAGGTTAGTTACCTGCATTAGTTTGTAACGTTCTTAGCACTTAACTCTTGGTCAATTGGACTAATTGAACCAGTAATAAAAATTGTACTTCATTCATAATCCGATTGCTCATTAAAATCTGATTGGCTTTTGGATGGAAATTGTGAAGATGTGCATTCTTTCCTCAGACATTCTATTGAGGGGTTAAGGTTTAAATTTTTTTAAGAAATAAACTCTAGGTCAATAACAAATCACACATCTATCATGCTTAATTTAAGGAAATGCTTGGACTTGTCAAGTTAGCTCTGATAACTTGTTTATAGAAGCTACAGTAGAAGGTTCCTACTATTTTCGCACGTTTCCTTCTTTTTAGTTCTTTTCTAATTCAGTGCCAGTTAGTGTTCTAATTTGTTTGATGCAAATATCTGTTCATTTCTATGCAGGCTAAAAGAGATCCTTATCGTTTCCGCTTTCCTATTGAATTGCGTTTCCTCGATCCTAATATTGATCACCTGATGTATGTACCTAGGGTTTGTTTATTTGTTTACCTTAACGTCTGCATGATGCATCTTCCATTTATGTGACCTTTTATAATGCATATTATTTGTCATTTCAATTGTTATATGGTTTGGCAGTTTACTTCTACTGCAGCTTAATTAACTTTTGCTTCTTTTATTTCTATCTAATCCTTCTTATATCTTTCAGATTCAATAGGTTTGATTTTCCACCGATTTTTCATCGTGAAGAGGATATAAATCCCGAACTCTTATGGGTAACTTCTTGTTTTATTATAATCTTATTTACATTTATACTCTAACTTATCAAGTTGTAAATATTGTTCTTTTATTTCAGGGAAATGTGATATTTAGGGTTTAGGACATCAAAATCTGATATAATATTCTCATACAAATAAGTTAATTGGAAAATAAGTAACGTATCATGTTTTCGAATATGCACGTTTGTGCTTTTTGGAAATCTTAAACCAATTGTGGCAAGTGATCCTTTTTTTTTTTTTATTTTGAGCTGCTTTTTGGTGAGAAAGGGACGAGAGACCTTCTCATGGGAAAGTAATGATGCTTTTTTATAACGTATACAAGTTTTTTGCTTTATTTTGCATTGGGATTATAATGTCTGTCATACATATCATAGAGCTTTTTTTTAACAAAAAAAAATATTAGAACTAATGACCTTGACCTCAATAGGTAATCTGATTGTTGCTCTAGGAGTTCCCTATAAAGTTTGGGTGTTTGGCTGTAATGATTAAGCTCACCCCTTATGACCTAGAAGTTATGAAATCAAATCATAAATCAACAGGTTTTTATTGTAAATTTAACACCGTGAGCCTTTTAAAATTTATTGTTTAGGAGAAGCCAAACTCTTCGCTGCGAGCCTCCTTTACGTCCATGTGAGAGAACTTGAGAATTATTTTTCTAAAGATAGATTAGGTTTAAATTAACTAGTTTCACTTTTATTTTCTGGATTTATGTAGATCTAGGTGTAGATTTACTCCTATGCCCTCAATTCTCCATTCATAATTTCGCTTTTAATTAAGAGGTTCTTTCAGGCTTAATTTTATTGTTAGATTTAAAATTTAGATTTAAATTGAATTATATCATTTTGGAACTGTTGGGGTAGAGGCCTACTCTATCTGCCAATGTCAAAAGGTTGTAAGCTCTAACATTTTTGGAGCCTTTTAGCAAGCATGGGTTGTCTCATCTATATGATATTTTGAGTAGACTTGTTGGAAATGTCTATGTAAGATGTGCTTTTGGGGTTAGCATTGACTTGTTTATTGGCAGAGGGTTGGTCCTGCCATTTTTAATTGAATAATTTAGAGATGCAAAACATGGCCAATTTCAATTAAGAGGTATTTGCTTCAACCAATAAGTGTTTGAAGCTATGACATGTTCACTAGTTGTCCATGAGTATTAGTTCAGTTTGAAGAATCATGTTTAAGACAGATGGCCTTCAATTTGTTTTGTTTTAATTGGCGGATATAATTTAATTGATGGACTTGTTAGCAAGGAAGCTGGCTCACGTTTAGGTTAAGTTGGGGATTACATCTATTGAAAAATCAGGTTACTTGGTATGTTGCTTACATTCAGTGGAAGTCCTGAGTTTGTTGGGGCGGGCTGAAATTTATTTTGTTGTGGTTTGAATGCATAGCAAGACTTATAAGTGAGATTTAGAAATTACAGATAAAGGAAAGCCCAATGATGGATCTTACAGCTTTGCTTTATATGTAATAAACATGTTTGGTTAAATAGACATATTTACCGGCTTTATGTGGCCCGTTAATTGGAATGAAGCTTATATTTATTGAAAGGCCATCAATCGATACTTACAACCTTCAAGGAGAAGAAGCCCAATGAGGGTTTATGGACCTTCCCATATAGGTAAGGTGACCTGATGGAGGAAAGCTCAGTTTAGAGGTACAAAGCAAGGCTTCATGTGGCCTAGGGGTACTAGACATGACCAATAGGAGCAATTATCCGCTGTTTAGCTCAATTAAGTGTGTATGGTTTGATTCCAGATCAAGGAGACCTCACCATATTCCATTGTTAGAGTATGCTTTTCAACTTATATTAAACTTCGAATAAATGCTAAAACTATGTTTCAAAATTTGTCGAGTTGTTTAGCATTGAAACATCTAGGAGATTAATTGGCAAAAGTTAAGGGAGCATATTTACAAATTTATCTTGTACCTTTTTTTGCTTTGGATTCATGGACACATACCATATGCAAGAGCAGAAGTTTGAACAACTAATGCTTTTATTGTTTGGGTTCACATTTAATCCCTGCGAGGTATATTTTTCACGTTAGAAAAGCACATGATTGGTTTGAAAAATAAATAAATATGAACATCGTTATGGTAAATTGTACACAAGGACATCATAAATGCTAAGCAATTCTTTCCATTTCAATGAAGGGAAATTAATATTATCACTCGAGTTTTGGAATTTAGGAAAAGGGTGGATAGATAAGTTTTTGAGGTTATTGGTGATTATTTTCTGCATAATTTCAGCTATCATTTTCAGTTTATTTAATTCTCATGTTTTCTTTGCAGCGGGAGTGTGGAAGGCCACCCATTCCTAGGAGAAGACCTACAGGCAAGATCGAAGATCAGCCTCTATTATCAGATCACCCTTATGTTGACAAGGTCCTTTCTCCGTGTCAGTCTTGTTTTTTGTTTCTGAAGTGTTTTGACTTGATTTGGCTAGAATAGATATGTCATAGAATAGAAATGCTGGTTGTTCTTGTTTTCAATGTACAAATTGAATTGTCATATTTTGTCCATAAGCTAATTAAGTGCCTCTATCGTTTACTATTACGCACAAGTATAATTTTATCTTTTCGGTACAGTTATGGCAGCTACATGTTGCGGAGCAAATGATCATAGATGATGAAGAGGCAAATCCTGGAAAGTACATGGACAAGAAATTCATTGAGGATACGCCTTTTGATGAAGAGAACAGCATTCAATACTCACAATCATACTACGAGAAGGCTTTACTTCCAGTGACTATATTGGCAAGTTGAAATAAATACTGCAAGCATTCAATTTGCTTCTTAATCTTCGTATTGTGCAAGTAGTTTGCTAATCCACTTCTTGTTTGCTTAATTTATTATCGTAGAATACAAATTTGAAAGAGCTTGACTTGGATGCTGCTCGAGCAGAGCATCAGGTAATTTTGAGCTAGAATCTTTTTTCTCTTTAGAAGTTCTTAAGCAGTTACTCATGTAAATATAGCAGTTTGTCCTAAGATCTAGTTCTGGGATTTACTGTCATGGTGTATTGAGCAAGGCATTTTTTCAAGTAAATTCTAAATTAAACTTTTTGTTAACAAAGGACGCTCTAGGCAGTATTTTGATAAACGTCTTTATTGATTTCCTTTGTTGCTGCATTTGCACCATTTGGGTTATAGATAGACTTGAAGGGCAGTGTTCAAAAACTTCAAAGGCGTAACCACACTTAACCAGTATCATTTTTTCATCATGCTTCAAAATCCAAGTGGTATAACAATGTGGTCGCCGGCATGTGCTTCCGACTAAATTGTCACAATTATAGTCTCCATTGATGCTAATGAAAAATGTGTCATTCATGTTAAAAACAATAACATTGTAACTGTTACCTTTATTTTTTCTCTCCAAGGCAATGTATTTCTTTTTTTAATTCTCCAAAATCTTCTTCCTTCAATCACTTTTCGACTGCCATCAAAGTAACTTGGAGATCATTGTTCGTGAAGAGCGCAACATCAAGCATTATTGCCTAAATGCCTACAAATGATATTCTCAACGACATAGCCTACCTCCATGGCCACAACCTCATCCTCTGCGACATCAAGTTGGGGAATATATTTCTTTCGGGTGAGGTCCAAACATAAGTGACTTCGATTGCATGCAATGGCTTGTAGATTGAAACTGATGGTGGTTTGAGTGATATTGATGATCATGGTGTTGGAGGAGTCAAGGAGTCAGGAATTGAAGTTGTCAATGAATGTTTGTCCGTAGAGTTAGCAAGGTATCTTCTTGATAATTGTTTAAGAATAGGTCTGTCGGACTCGTGGATAATTGAGCAATTGCATCAAGCTTTCCTTATGGCCTCATAATACATTGAAGATGTCAATTGATTTTCAGTGTCTCACAAATTCTTTCCACAATATCTCATGCAGCATAACAAAAAACTATGGAAGGAAGCTAAAGAGAGAGGAGAAGAATTTACTGTAAGTAAGATGAGACGAAATAGAGAAATGGATGAGTACGACTTAATGCATTGGCGACGGTCCTTGGAAGAGAGAGAGGCGCTGGTTAGAGACATTAGTATGTAAGTATTCATTCTCCCTTTTGCTATCCTAACTTGCAAATGGTAGATTTCCGTATGAAGCTTTAATACTTCTCAAGCTTCATGCCAAATGAAATGTTGTGGTTTTATTTGCAGACGGAAGGCTCTTGGTCTACCAGTGGAGGAGCCTGGAAGACATGATGTAAATCCTGCGCTTTGGAAGGACAAGTATGATCCCACCAATCCTCTGTACAGGTATGACTATTGGGGGGAGCCCAAGAACTCTGAGGAGAGCCGGCAGCAAAGAATGACTGAAGACCACAACAGATCCATCGTTGGAAAAGGCACAGTTTGGTATGAGATGTCTTATGAAGAAGCCATCGAACAAAGGATGCGTAGGGAAGCTAGAGTGAAGAATATGCCTAAAGAGATGAAGGATGCGGAAGAGGAGGATGATGAAGACGACGACGATCTAGATTTTGATTTTAGCATCTTAAGCAATTCAGACAACACTTGTGCTGAAAAACCAGTTGTTAATGGCACTGAATCCCCTGGAATGTCGGATGAGGGTGTGTTTGACAATTAGTCAGCAGCACTTCTTGTAGCCTATTAGTGTCTGCTGCATGTATAAATTGCACGTGATTGAGAAATCTATAATTGCGCACCAGTGCCTATTTCTTTTCTATTATTTTGTTGCTACCTATGCTTTGCATATTTGCGATTTTTTTTTTTTAATGGCCCGCGCTATAAATCTCAATCTGTCAAAATCAAACAATGCTTAATTAACAGGAATGCAAAATAAGATTTCAGGCCATTGATTAGTACATGACACTACAAAATATAGCTACTAAAAAATCTAATACACATATCCATTTGATGTGGCAATAGTTTACCTGTGAAAGTTTTCTAAACAAAAAATTTAAAAAATTGTTGTGGGAAAATAAATAAGGGGCATTTACATACATGCCACCCAATGCTTGTGTTTAAATATCTAACACTTGATCTTTACTTTATAAATATCACCTAAATATTTCATATAATTTCATATAACATAAAAAATACCTCCATTTTAACTATTAAAAGTGAAATGCTCCTTTTCACAAAGGTAAAAATTACTGTTTAGGGTGTTAGATGGTGTAAATTCATAGGGTATTGAGTGGCACGTATGAAAATCGTCCAATAAACAATCAATAACTTTCTAATATCTATCATATCTGGAAAAAATTCAGTAACCAAAATTTCACTAAAATAAAAAAAGGAAGAAACAATAAAAGTAAAAGAAAATTTAAGAAAATATTATTGGGAACAAATATTGTACCAAACGCACTCTTAAACCTCATTCCCATCCTTGCAACACACCGTAGAAGGCATGCAATCCATAACATTATCCATAATGTCGGCACATGGCAACATGCATTTATCAACGTAAAATTTACATTGAATCAAATACAACCAGATACTGCATTTCTGAGAAAAAAAACAATAATAATAACAAAGACAAAGACAGAGACAAAGACAAAAGCAAAACACTTCCTATAGAACAGGCTGATCTAACAGTGGAGCAACGCAACACGACAAGAAATGTGTGTGAAGTTTCTTTGTACAGTTCACCGAGAAAGCACTACAGAATCTCTTACAAATCTTAACGCGAAAAATGAATGGGCCCATCATGCCAATCTATCTAAAACAAAAAGCAACAAATATTGCTTTTATGATTTGCTGCATCCATATACCAGCAACTCGCAAAGGGGAGAGCTTTAGCAGTAAAGCGGCCAAAACATGGGATTTTAAATTAGTCAATTTCACCTTCTTCAAAATCATTTAATGGAGCCCTAATTGGCCTATCAGGTTCACCTTCATCATCAACATCATCAAAATCATCTTTAATGAATAAACCCAGCTGTTCTAAAGGATTGCTTCCACCGAACTTGAAACAATCAATGTCCCCATTAGAGGAATCTGGGTTAATATCAATAGCGGAGCCAGGAATATGTGCCATGGGAGCGGTTCTAAGCATTTCTAGGTCTTTAAAGAATAAGCTGTTTTCATTGATTTCAACTGTTTTCTCCATCTGTTACAGCACCCATAAAAGATTAAACACAAACTTTATGTTGGGAGGAGATGAGAGACAAACAATATGCATATATGCAAGAATTTACCTGCAACAAAGCTTGTCGTGCTGCTTCTCTCTCAAGCTCTAGTCTTCGTTTTGCTTCAGCAGCAGCTTCTGCCTCAGCTTTCAGACGAGCATCCTCAGCAGCCTTCGCTTCTGCTTGCAGCCGAGCTCTCTCTGCATAGATTTTTCATTAAATTTCAATCAAGCAGCTAGAAAAAGATGGAAATAACAGCTTGAATGTAAAAAAAAAAAAAGAATTGCATACCCTCCCTCTGTTGCCTCTCGAGTTCCTCCCTCTCCTGCTTCAGTTTTTCAGGGTCTCTTTTTTCACCCTATTCACAGAAAAGCATAATGATCATATCCATGAAACACGGATTTACCAACACCAACTGCGTTACTAAAACCAACCTTATCGAGGGTTTTCTCGCGAGCTTTAAAGATTGTATCTGCAAATCGACTTCTCAATAAAGCTGCCCGATAGAGCTTGTCTGGGGAGACTTGCCTCTCAGATGGAGCATTCTCCCCTGAAGTTTTACAGGTAAGAAAGCATTATCCGACCAAGTCAAATCTTTAGAGCCATTGGAGGTTCCACAACTTTCTTCTCAGATATTTAGATATGCTTACCCTCTTGACTAACATTTGATGCAACTGGCACAGCCTTACGATGAGCATTCTCTTCAGCTTGGTCCACTCCAGTTAGGGGTCCTGAAACACTTCGGTAATATTACCATTTAGGCACAGTATATAATGTTGATAAATCAGAAGAACAAATAAAATATAAAAACTACAAACAATATAACCTTGAATTTAAGTTTCAAATGAATATGAGAAATTGAGCAAGCTAATAGAAAGGAACAATGGAAGCATGCTAAAAGGACCGAATTAAAACACAGCTCCTATAAATTCACCTTCTTCATGTCTCAATGGTGGTCCCTGAAGTAGGTCATTTTCCTGAATTAAAAAAAAAAAAACAACTGATGAAAAGGTGAAAGAAAAACAGAGTAAACTATATTTTATTCCTGCCATCACACTGAAAATCATGAAGAAAAACTAGACAACTACAGTATGCTAATGCTTCCCCACATTACCTTCTTCGGATTTGTAGTCCTATCAGCTCTCATATTTGATTCACTTCTTAAAGTGCTACATGAATCTGAGTCTGCATGAGGATTAAGAAGTATAATCAGGGACTCGATAGACAAGAATTATGAAGTATAATCAACCAAAAAAAAAACAAAAAACTATACCACTATCTCAAATTAAAAGGCAGAACTAAACAATTGCCCATAGCACCCATGACAACCTCAAAATCTCAAATTACCAAAAGCAGAAGATGATACATCTACTGGAACTTAAAAAGAGTCAATCAAGATGAGCAAAATGCCTAAAATTTAACGGCAAAATAAAAAAAGACAATTATGCTTGACAATAATGAAACCATGATCAAGATGTGGAAGTTCCAACTACAGTTTATTCCTGCTCACACAACCCAAAGAAACCTACATAGAAACAAAATACCACTCCATATATCCATACATGGAATCTGTTAGTCTGCATATATAGGTCAGGCAGGAAAATGAGGGATAAGGTGGGAGAGGCAGTAGGAAGAGGCTGTTCAGCAACCTGTAATTCCCTTCAATAAATGAAGCATAATCTAACACTTTTTCTCAATAACCGCTCTACAGGATAGTCCTTCAATCATCTGTATTGTATTACATGCCTCTCCGAATGAGTGCATAGCATCAGTGGTACGCACAAATTTCTATATTCATCAGTGGAAAAGTTCTCTCAAGTGCTCCCTCTTAACTTCATTGCTCTTCTATTTTACCCTTTATTTTATTTGTTCTTCTACTTCCTCTACTTCAAAATGCATGGATATATTATACAAAGTATATCTCTTTTTGCCAAGACTCCACCTAACTAACAGTCAGAAAATTTTGCAGGATAGAAAAAATGAGGATCAGGACAAAATAAAATTTCAAAGATCTAGGAGGGTTCTTTAACCAAAGCAAAGAACAATAATACTTAGATCCTTTATGATGTATTTTTTGGAATAAGCACAGCATCTTTAGGGGAACAACACTGGCATCCATGTAAATAAATAAATAAATCAATTGGAGATAGTATGCTCACGGACATTTTGGAGAAAAAGCAGCATACCCAAAACATAAATGAATCTAAAAAAAAAAATAAACGTAGTAAGAAGTTTTGGTGCGTAGGCCATGGGTTTGGAGGGGTGATCAATGTTAGCTAGCAAAGGGGTACCAGCATTCGATGGGATGCTATTTTGGTAGTTCAAATCTCTAACCACCCGGTAAATGCAAAGACAACCTAGCTATTGCTCTTAGGCGCGCCCGCTTCTAGACTACAGAAAAATTTAGTTCTCTATTCTTCCATTTCATTTATTGGTGCCTATTCACCAAACAACATTAGAAACCTTCAGCCATGCATGCATATTCTATCAGTATTGGTTTGATTTCTCAGTTTCATCCAAGTGAAAACTAAATCAAAGTCAAGGTTTTCACCCAGAAAAAAAAAAGAATAAAAAAAGAAAAGTACTTTAACTTTCATTGAGATAGAAAAAAGTACAGCTTTTATAAGAGATGCAAAGGCCAATTAGTAGCCCTAGAATAGAAAGCAATAAAACCGTACAATTTAAAAAAAAAAAAACAGGAAATCATTCAACAGAGAAGCTCTTTTGAATACACAAATTCACAAAATCAAATATAGGTCATTCCTCTTGATATTGAAACAAGTGATCAACAGAATAAAACAAATCAAGATCTACTTGATTGAGCATGCAGTGGGATCACTCTAAATGGAATTAGTGGTGCAGCTAGATTGGGTTGTCACTTGTAGCAGCAAGACGTATTTCCAGAATAGCAGGAGAGCTGGCTACCACCTTCACAAGTTCCAAAAATGGTTCTTAAATTGGAGTGTTGGCCGCCATCTTAAATAGGGCTGTCAAAAAAGCTCGTTGTTCGCGAACAGCTAGTATTCGGCTCCTTAAGTAGCTCGAGTTTGACTCGTTAAGTAGCTCGTGTTTGGCTCGTTTGTTAAGTAAACAAGCTGAACACAAACAAGTTTTTAAAGCTCGAATTATAAACGAGCCAAACACGAATAGCTCTTTGTTCGCTCATGTTCGGCTCGTTTTACCTCGAAATAAAAAATATATATATAATTATTCATATAATAATATATGACATATATTATTTATATAATAATATATTACATATATTTATATCTAAGTTTAAATCGTAACACCTTATAGGGTAATTTTGTCATGTGTCTTCTTTTGCATACATTTGGTCCAGCTTCGAATCCAACCATTAACATCTATTTTTTTTCAATTTAATTTTAATAAATCAATTTTGGGCTGAACACGAACACGAATATTTGAATCGAACCGAACACGAACACATTGTCCACGAGCTAATTTCGAACACGAGCCGATTTCGAACACGAGCAGTTTTGAACGAGCCGAACACGAGCCAAGCCTGCGCTCGCTCAAGCTCGGCTCGTTTACCCCCCTAATCTTAAAGACTTCCAGAAATGATTCTTAGTTTATTTAAGTGGTGTGATCCAATTTGAAAACTTTTGAAAATGCATATAAGATTTCCAAACTCCTCATCAAGCTACGAATATATGTTGATCATTCCTAACTTGGAAATAAGAATATCAATGTGTATTTGAAATAAGAGTTGTAGTAAGGATATCAGAAATCTGATACCTTCGTGGAGAATAAATCACCTTCATAAACCTTTGTTCAACTTTTTCTACTAAGAAGTGCAACAATCTCAACATGCTCAATCCTCTCATGATGGATAGGATTCTTACTAATGTTGATAGTAGCTTAATTCTCACACATCATCATCATCATTAGCTCTTTATTATAAACTTTTAGTTCTAAACATATCATTCATTGTTAGTGGTTTTATTCTTATTATTTGTATAAGATTTCTAGTTATTGTGTATGTTTATCAGTCATATCATTGTGCTCTATTTATATTGTTATACAACTTTTGTAGGACTTTTTTATTGTTGGTCAGATGGATATAGTTGTCTTAATTTATTGTTGCACAAATTCTTGCATGTTAGATTAAGTTATGTAGTTGCATAGTTTATTTTTCCTTCACATCACTTTTGTTGATTATCATAAATTTCTTCCATGCAATAATCATACTTAGAATATCAATAAAACTGGTCATATTGTTTAAAAAGCTATGAAAATTTGTTAATTTGTATGTCTATATGCAGTGGCGTGCCGGCCAGTACAATCCTTTTAGATAATAGTTAGTCAAGCTGACAAGCCTAGGGAGTGATGACTCTACAAAAAATCATTAGGTTTTCATGTGTTGGTGTCTAACTTCTCAGTTTCACGATGTCTTACAAAACCGACTATATATATACATATAAATTTAAATAGAATTAAATGGTAGAATAAATATTGAGTCATATACTAGTGAGCTTGATTGGATTGGAAATAATTTTATTAGAATATGTAAAATTGATTGTCATTAATTGTAATTTATCATTATACTGAACATTACTTCAAAGCATATGACGGATCAAATCCAGGTGAGATGTTATCATTAATATCTGATAACAAATCATTTTCTTGATTATTGCTTTAATAAATAATCGTTATTTACTTGACTTAATTTGTCAAACACATTTGTTGATAATTTTTATAACAGGTTCTACCAAATAATTCAGTGGACCCTCATCTAAGAAACAAATTCTTCGGCATTAGATCTATTTATGATATTTTTAGTTTATGAATCAGCTATTATATTTCCTATGGGTTTGGGTAGCTTTTAGTTTTATAGTTGTTCCTTCAGTTTCCTTTTCATTAAATGTTATTCTATTCCTTGGTAGGCTATGATTGTAATTTTAATTATTTAATAAAATAAAATTTATCATTTTTTGCTTACTTGTAGTATCCTTATTATTTACATATAAATTGATCTTCTTTTGTAGTCAATATGTTGCTCCCTCTTTACCTTTCAATTTCTTCTTCTCTATAAGACTTCGGCTTGATAATATACATAATTTTTTGGTAATTTAATGAAAAGTGTATGCATCCAACCTTTCAATAATTAGAAATAATATGTATGTATGTATGTATGTATGAATGTATGTATGTATGTATCGAGCCCCCCACACTATGAACTCAAAATAAATAAGTAAAATAAATCATGAAATTTGTTGCTGTAAGTTCAATGACAAGAATAAAAAGGCAAAATTATAATGTAAGTGCGTGCAGACCACTAGAAGAGGATCCTGATTTGCTGCTTGAACTGCTTGAACCACTGCCACAGCTACTTCTTGGCAATCTTTTATCCACCCTATCAGCAAGAGGAAAACTTGCAATCGGAGGCTCGTTACCACAAATATCCAAATATTCAACCACATCAGCAGGACCATTGCCTGCAAGCAAATCAAAATGACATAAGAGATACAGAAGCATTACAGAATAACAACGCTATCAATCAAACAAGAGGAGGCAGTGCTAACCTTTGCAAGGATGCAATGATGAACTGCTGAGTCCAGACTCGATCAAAATCTGCAGATAAAAGAGGAAAAGTGAAGTAACAAAAATACAGGTGACAAATGATTCAATAGCGAGCAAATGCTACCTCCATTTCACAAGTCTCGGTTTTCTTCAGCTGATCCAAGCTGTTCCCTTGCACATAGTCGTCCAAGAGCTTCTTTAATTGAAGTAAAGCCTCAATATTAAGCGAATCAAAATCAATTTCTATTTCACCATTACTGTCCTGATCTGCATCATCAGTGTAACTCTTCAAGAAATCAACAATGTGCTGTGGCAATTCCGGAATAGATGACAAGCGCCTGCTAAGATGCAGCTTTTCTTCATCCGTCATCTTTGGTTCGCTATCCAAAACAACAGTAACATGATCCACAGAAGGAATTTTCCTCTTCAAAGATTCCGATGCTGACTTGACAGCTTTTGTTTTTCTTTGTATAGCCATATCTACTGCAGCTAACTTTTTCTCAATAGGTTTCCATCTCGATTCAAAGAAGTTTCTCATCACATTAGCCATGGCATGCACATCATTTGTGGGTGGATTATATGTCATGGCATTGGAGAATGTAAGCCTCACATCAGAGGCAAAATCTTGTGGGCTGGAGTAAGCACCCGAAACTATCTTAGATTTGACAGTTCCAAGATCCATTGGTTGTTTTATTACTGTGAAATAATCTGGAATGTTCAGTTTCACCGCATCTACGGGGGTATTGAAAACCCATGCATATTGGTGAGCCATCAGGCGTTTGAGAAGTGTTTCACATTGCTTCATCAACACAGTGATTGAAGGCGGTGATTGAACCTGTTTCATTGATTCAACTCTACCACCAATCCCACACTTCAATTGGGTTATATTTTGACCTGCACAATCCAATTTCATCAGGGGATCACCAGAGGATGATACAATAACCCCATTTGGTTTCAATGTGGTTCTTGAAAGTATTTTCTTCTGAAACTTTTGAACCTGTTCAAGCTCCCGCCTGAATCTCACTTCTAGGTTTTTCCTTTCAAATCTGGACATCTCTGAAAATGAAATCACTTGGATGGGCACGAAGAAACCAACAGATTTGTCGTCATTCAAGCTTATACATCTTCTCTTACGAACACAAGAATCCTCCGATCTAGCATGCCCATGGCTAGTAAACCCTTCAGACTCGCCAACCGCCTCCACTGCATGTCTGTCGCCTGGGACAAAGCCAGAAGTGTACTCTCTAGAGGACTTGTGCGTTTTCCCCATCAAAGTGAGTGAAAGATCGCCGCAAAGATCATTCAAAGCTTTCCCCTGGTACCAGGAGCAATTTTCAGTAACCATCAGTGGCAAAAGATCAATCAAACAGATCTTCAAATTTCCAGAACAATACACAACACAAACTTACTCCGATATTGAAACAAAAGAGTCAACCTAAAATTTGAAAACACGAATTAAGAGATTCCATCGAAATGAACTGTGTTCTTTCTCACACCAAACTGATACATTCATCATTCACCAGGGATACTGTAGCGCGCAGCCTCTGGCACACGCTTTGAATCACAAATAACAGCCGGATTCTTAGCTTCAATAAAAAGTGGAAGAATCATCCAAAATGACAAACTCGGTTGATCCCAAGCACGCTAAACCGAAAAAAAAAAAAACCCTAAAACCTCCCGTCCAGTTTCAGTTGCCATACACTTATCACCCGACATCACGCAATGCAAACCGCGTACAAAGACAAACAAACACGTGCTATATATCCCAAGCCACAGTCCAAAGAAGAAGCAAAAACCTTCTCGCACTTGTATTCCAAATACGGCGCCCTTATGTCGGTACTGAACACAAGAGGCGTAATCGGAAGCCCAGGAGGAACCAGAACCGATATCTGGTTCTCCTCGCCCACCTCAGAATCAAAAACCCTAAAAGATAGAAGCCGAGAGGAAGCTGAGCCCGCCAAACAGGTGCAAGGCAAGAAAATACACAAAAAATAGGCCGTTGAACCCGATTGAACAAACCCTGGATCCCAAGAGCTCAGCTGCCAACAAAAGCACCGCAAAAGGAACTCAACTTCTCTTTTTCCTTACTCCCTCTTCTTCCTCGTTCTTCTCCTGCGCGGCGGCTCCGCTGAGAGAGCGAGTAGGGAAATTAGCGCAGGTGGTATATAACTGCTGTCCGGTTCCGGTTAACCTAAAGGGTGAAGAAAAGTAGATACATAATTAAAATTTGGTACTTTTACACACAATTCATATGGATTTACATCTATACCAAATAAATTTTAATATTTACATTTATATTATTTTAGTGTTATAAATTTATATGTGATGATATTAAAATTTAGGTTAGAAAGGTAAATACATATTTACTTTGTTTTTTTTTTATTGGATGTTCATCACATGCATTTAATTGCTCTTCAAAATAAAAAAATTTAAGAATTTATTTATAAAAATAACACTATTTTATTTATTTTTAAAAATCTAGCTCAATTATTTAAATACCTGCTAGCAAGCACCATCGATTTCATATCTTATCTCGTTGATCGCCTGCTAACAAGCCAGGAGACTATAATGCTTTTTTTTTCTGTGTGATCCCATTGATCACCTACTAGTAGATCGGGAGACTCAAATTCTTTCTACTATTTCAGGCCTATTTATAGGCTCGAAATAAAAATGTAAAAAAGGAAAAAAAATTATAATTGAGTAAATCTATATTTAAAAAAATATATATTTTTTTCTTATTAAGAAAATAACATAATGGAAGAATGAATCAATCATATTTTTTCTTTAATTAGTCTTGTTGTTAACATTTAAATATATTTTCCTTTAAAAAAATTAACATAATAGATGAATGAATCTCTTTTATTTTTTTCTTAATTTTTTTCGTTGTTAAAATTTAAATATGCTTTAATTACTCATAAATATAGATATTCACATATATGAGCAGAATTTTAACTCATGCCATTAACGAGAAAATATTACATCAGAACTCCGCACGTAGAGTTACGTGCGAAGTCCAATAAAATCAAGCCACACACGTGAAGGCGAGAAAAAAAAACCGATCCGGTAATACAGGAGAATATTCCTCATGTGTTATTCAGGTGTTATTGTGTGGAATTCAAGTGTTATTGTGTTATTATAACACCATGAATATTCTCAAAACACAATAACACATGAATAACATACAATAACAACTGAATAACAACGGGGGAATATTACTTTGTGGCGTGATTTCATTGGACTCCGCACGTAACTCCACGCGCGGAGTCTTGATGTAATATTTTTTTCGCAATTAACACCTAAATAACATAATTAAAATCCGTATATATTCAAAACTCAATGCAATCTTATGTATTTACCATTTACGGTCGAAGACATGAATTATATAAATGTGAGGAAAATGATGAGAAACTTATTTACATATCACCTAATCCTAACACATTTACAAGTTGGGTGCCAAAATTTATATATTTACATTCATAATATTTAAATCTTTAATATTATATCAATAATAGCATTATTATATATTTTTTTAAAAATAAAGTAGATGTTTTTTATGCTCGGATTTATAACACTAAATTGTTATATATTTAAATATCTAACTTATAAAATGCAGCCTACAAAAAATAAAATTTTATTTGAAGATTATCATGATATTAAATTTTTTATGCAAGTTGAGATGTATGTTCAATGTATTTGACAATGAAGAATGAAAATCAAGGGACAATTGATACGATGTCAACAAATTTTCATCAGCTGGCACAGATCTTGAGTGCGAAATGAACCTCAGGATAATTTTTTAGCAAGGAACATTCAATTTCAATTAAAAATTATTCAAAACTCTGATTTCAGAAAACTTACAGTTAGACTTATCAACTCGACGAGACATCCTAATGATAGCAAAATTGGTCAAATTTGAAACAAATTAAACATAGATCAAGTCATTAAACCACTTATAAAATCTTTTAGTGCATAATTGAAAAGTCAAAGCGAATTTCAAATTTGGAATGCTTATAGTCAAATCAAGTGTCTCAACAAAAAATAATAAACAAGCCAAAGATCACTCAATTATGACATCATTTAGAAACTTAATTGGTCACATAACACCGTCCAATCGAGGGAACCTCCCTAGACCATTTGATCAGAGTATATAAATTCCTTTTTTTTTTTTTTTTTGCAACATGTGCATTATAAATAGAGTTCTACCCCCACTCTTGAAAGAAGCCCTAGACCTTGAGTCAGAAGAAGACTTAAGCCTAGAGGATGAGCTAAAGTCTAGCAACGCTTCTGCACAACATATGCGGCGAATTCCCTTAATTTTGCAGCTGCCTACTACCGTCAACCATCACCTATCGACCACCTTTTACCATTGTTAGTCGCCCTCTACCGTCGACACTATCAGGCCCCACCTGCTCCTTGCAGCAAAGTCTCTCACGGTGTCATCATGTGCACTGTGGAATCCCAACTTACATATGGGAACAATGAAACATCTAACAGACTAATACACATCTAGTAAACCATACAACGACACACTCTAAAGACATTGTCAACTCAAAGATAAAGCAACGACACATCCTGATGACGTTGTAACAATGCATCACCTAGATGATGTAACAATGCACCTCGAAGGCGGTGACTTTTCTCGAACTCCTAAAGCTTTCTTCTTCCAACCAATTACTAAGGCCTGTGTGGTCCATAGCTCATGCAATTCTCAAATCCGACCATGACAGTCTAGAAACGTGGCTTACAGCTCGTGCAACTGCCAACTCCGACCTTAACTGCCTAGAGACGTTATCACACCTTGTGCAACTGACGACTTTATCCTCTGAGACTCATAGACATCATCACAGCTCACTATTGCAGCCTACGTAACCAACTACAACTTATGTGGCTTACAGCTTGTGCATCTCCTAACTCTGTCCTTTGTGTCCTACAAACATGACTTATAGCTAGTGCAACTCCCAACTCTAGTCTCAATGACCTACGAACGTCATCCAACTCTGCATTACGACATACGACCAACTATGATCTATGTTGTTCGCAGCTCATGCAGCTCCTGACTTTAGCCCATGCGACCTATGGATGTCATCACAGCCGTTATGAAATCAATGACCAACTACAACTATGTGGTTCACAGCTCGTGCAGCCCCCAACTTCGGATTATGTGGCTTATAGACATTATCACAACTCACCACTACAAACCATATGAGCAACTATGACGTACGAGGCTCACATCTCCTTCAGCTTCCTACTACAACATTTGTGGCCAATTGACGCTCCTTAGGCAACTATTAGCAACCCACATGGCCAACCACTATCATGTCATTCAACTATGACCTATACAACAGCTGACGCTACAACTATTGTCCATAACATTCATGACGGACAACTACCTCCATACCAATCAACTACGACCCTTGCAGCCTGTTATCACCGAGAACTACATTCATTGCAGCCAGATTATGACTATTATTAATGAACTATTGTTGTATATTTGTAATGATCAACTTTACACATTCATCTTCCGTAATTAATAAGTACTCAATATTCATAGTGGATTATTTCAACTGAGCTAGACCCTCTGTTTTTTTTCTCTTTTATAGGATTTTTCACATAAAAATTAAGGTGTCACATCCTGCTTACTTCTCTTTAATTACTCGAGTATTATTGAGTTTTTGTGCAACACTAAAACATTAAATTATTATTATACCATTGCAGACATTCCGAAACGCATAACTCACGATAAAACCTCAACACATTTTTTTTTATCAAATTTTCAATGTTTTGATCATGACACAGGTAAATGCATTGGTTCGGTAGTTCCAAAAAAAACAGTGGAGTTCTAGTTTTGTAGAAAGCAATGTTTTAAGTGATGTGTATACCGAAAAAAAAGGTTGGGAAAGTGATAATAGTGTCTCCAAAAATGCATATAATGGTGTGTGAAAACGCTTAACAATGAAGAAGAGGTCATCCACTATTTGAGAAGGGCATAGTGGCAGCATGTGAATTACCATCAATGAAATGAAGGTAGGAAAAAATTATTGATATGCGGGAGTGTAAAGGAGAATGGAAGTTTGACCTTACCTATTATAACTAGAAGTTAATGATGAACATGAGAATGATGATATTTATGTGCTATTAAATATCCAAATAAGTGAAGAGGTTTATGTTTGTAAATGATCCTTATTTTTTAAAATATTAAGTGCATTAAAAAGAATTCAAGCCCTAATTTTAAAATATAGTATTCAAACCAACCAATTAGTTGCTTGTATAATTTCTCTTCACATGTGTTTTGCAAAATGCCTCTTGATTAATTATGATATTAGTGTTATAATCTTCATAGGAGTCGGCCCGATTGAGTTTCATCTAAAATTTTAAATTTATCAAGCTTGGCAATATTAGAACACTCAAAAAGAAATATTTATAAATAATGCAAATATAACTCATTGTATAACATGGGGGATTTACATTAATAGTACTTCAAATGTAGGCATTCACATATCTAACGCCGAAATGTTATGTTTACTAATGTAACACTTAAATATCGATTAATTATCCAAAAATAGAACCATTTCAACCTTCGACCATAGCTCCATCACATCCTTTATATCATTATGGTGAGAAGATATGGATTTGGCTAAGGCTTGGCTGGCCCTTTGCCCCCATTGCTCTGACTCTTGCACAAAACGTTGCCAAAAGGCTAGTTATTTTGGGCTTTAACTATGATGTCATTTGCGCTTGCCAGCAATAGACTACCCATTATCCGACATCTCCAAGAGATCACCTTTTATGACCAACCAAGTGTCGGAAAATTCTCCATTTTTAGAATAAATTGATTATCTCAAGTGAGTATTGTTTTATCATCCTAAAATTATCCCTTCAGATTACTTTTCTAGCCGCACAACACTACGCCTTTCTAGTTAATTTTTATAATTTTTACTTGAAGTGAGATGATCACTTTTATGTAGTACATAATGAATTTACAATTGTTGTATCTGTGAAACCCCTTAAGTAGAATGAAGCTGAAATCTTGCAAATCAAAGCGCATTTTGGTGTAGCAACTAGCATGCCGGCACTATTTTTGGTGTGGGGTTTGCCCGTAAGAAGCTGTCGGTCATCGGAATTGAAATCCCGTTGCCCGCTTCGGAAGGACGTTAAAAAAAAATTAGTTT